GATAGATTCACCATCAAATTAAGCACCATGCAAGCTGGTTTGAAATTTTACAATCTAAATTCAAATGCAGAACATAAATTTAGTAAATGTTCAGTATGTCAGCAACACACTTCAAATCCGATAAATGAAGAAGATAACTTCGTAACAAGACAATGAAGCAAAGGCTTGCCTGCAGGATATACAAAATTGATAAATACTTGGACTACCAAATTGAGATCACATAAAGGAAGGTAAGGACCCTTTGATCCATTACCATATGGCAACTATTAGTGGTACTTGGCAGCTTATAAGTTCAGAAGCAGTTCAATTACATAAAGATATCATAGAATTTCACAAAATAGGAGCTACAATTCATCGACATCATCATCATCATCCGAGCCTTATCCCAACTATTTGGAGTTAGCAAATTCATAGATACAATTCGTACATACATTAGAAATGTGAAATAACTACACATAAAAAATGTGAAACAAATCAATGTAATTGAAAGAATAAGATCACAAATTTTATAGTTAAAGAGGAGCTAAGTAGAAATAAGCAATAAATATCATGGAATGCATCACAGTACTTCAGATGTGATTCTAATATAGACAATGCATCTTGATCTAAGGAGTTATAATCCACCTCTCTAAATCAAATGTAGCTTAATGAAAGAAATTGAAAAGAGAAGAATTTGAACACACTGCACATTATTAAACCATAATTTCCAGCATTGGCACCCACCAAAAGATGGAACCTTAACTAATATGGGAAAGTCGGCCTAAAATTCTAGGTCTTTAAGAAAAAGAAAAAAATAAAAAATAATATATATATATATATATATATATATATATATGTAAAGCCACTACACAACGCCTATAGGCGAAAATGAACAGTGTTTTTGCCCATAGGCTCGGCACCGTCTAATTTTTTTGGATGGCGTGGATTAAAAGACCGCAATGGACCTACTATGTCTGTTGCGGTACCGCAACGGATATGCTATATTCGTGGCGAGGTGAAAAACTATTCAATTTCGCCTATAGGAATTTTTAAGAGTTTTACATATATATATACAAGTTCAAAGTTCAAAAACAACACAAACCTAATTGTTTGCCAGAACATAAAACAAAATAAACTAAAATAAGATCCAACACACAAATATCCTAGATAAACAAAAAACCCTCAAATGCGCACCAAAATAATGTTTTGCTATCTTTATGCACTGCTATGGTGTTCCGTATAAATGTGTAAGAATACTCAAATTACAGCAAAGAAATATACCAAGTTGCTTAACTGATGAAGACAGGAACACTAAATAACAAGAACAATGTGCACAACTAACTCATGAATGAAAGGACAAAAGCAATATTTCATATAGTTCCGCCCAAATACTTTTTAACAAAATACAAAATGAATTTTGTCTGAAAGAATGAAATAAAAAATGAAATAAATACATCAACAAATGAAAACATAAAACCCAAACCTTTATCTTAAACACTCTAAATGAATTCTAGAAAAGTGAGAATATTCAATGACTAATAGAGAGAAAACAAAACCAATTGATCTGTTCAAGGCACTGAAAGTGGCAACCTTGATTTCACAGGTTCAAATCCAGCTATCCCACCCGGAAAGTAATAACCATAATCATGGTGACGCAAACACCCCACCCCAAAATAAATAAAGATACAAAACAAAAAAAGAAATCATAAACTTAATGCACCAAACATGCAAATACTTCGAGGCTAGGTAAATTCACAAATGCTTCCAGCTAATAAACCCTAAAAACTCAAAAAGGAAAAACTTCTACAAGAATAGCACATTGAAAAAATGATTCCATACAAACAAAACTCCTGACTAAATTATTTCAAACTCTAAAACCCAAATACTTCACGTCAAAAAAGAGAAAAGTGATATATTTCCCAGAACACTAATCTAATAACCTATTTGAAGTAAAAACGAAAAAAATCGAAGCAACGCATACCTGGTCACATCAGAAAGCTAAATCTTTCCTACCAATGCAGTACTTTGCACACTGAAAACTCCACTATGAGGCGACATTGTTACAGAGAGAAGCTGCATACACCAAAAAATCCACTAAAACAGGGAAAAATGCAAGTGAAACATAATGCAAGAAAGGAAATAGAGGAAATTTTTTAGGACTGAAAACTTTAGCAAGAGATTGCACTTTCATAGAAGATCATCAATGGAGCATGAAGCGTTCGAAGTGGAAAAAGAGAAAAAATTTAGGGAAAAAAAAAGAAGAAGAGGAGAGATAATGGTTTAAAGAGAGAATGAAGGTCGAGATTGGGGGAAATTAGGGCAGAAATAAAAGGCGGGAATTTGAAGAGACCTTCGTCTGCAACCATGGTTGAAGCCTTTCAGCGAGCGCAAAGACTGCGTGTGACTTGTTATAATTGACATTGCGCACGTGCGCGGATTTATTCTAGGAGCGTTTTTAAAAGGGCTCCCACACGAGTGGTCTTGCGAGACCAACAAAAACACATGGTCTGTCGAGCAAAACACATGAGGGATTTATTTATTGGATTTCTATGCGGCCAAGCCCCGCATGAAACAATTTTTCTTATTTTTTTTCATCGAGAAATTTTAAGTCCGGCAACAGGCTCGGCCAGCCTTGGGCCTAGCCCCAGGTCTGCCCAAGCCCAGGCTCCAAAAAAAGGCCTTGGCCCAAGTTTGACCCTAATCTTATTGGGGCCGGGCAAAGCTGGGCCGGCCAAATAAAATCCAATAAAAAGGGGTAAGAAAAAAAGATCCAGGTTGGGCCAAACCGAGCCGCTCATGGCTCAACCCTACCCTTGGGGCATGGCAGTTGACCCTAGCACAGCCCCAGGAAAAATAATGCCGCCAAGCCTAATTTTTTAAGGGTCAGGGTGGGGCTGCCTTGCTCATTGTCTAGCCTGATAAATTCTTGTGTAATATTTGGGATTCATTTATGAGCGATTTCAAACTAAAAGAATCTTGATTTGATCTCTTAAGACCCTATACCTCATTATGCTAATGGAAAATTTAGTGTTAAGTCTTAAATTTATTTCTATTTTTTTTTGTCCAAATCAATTAGTTTTTTTTGGATAATTACTATGAGACCATTAATTTATAAATATGGTATACAATGAGACCATTTACCTTTGATATAAGATGATCACATTAATCACTCATAACTATCAGAGGTGGAACGTGACAAATTGAAGTTGTCACAAATCTCGATTAGTTTTCTTTTGGACTTTGAGTTTATTCAATGACACACCTCAATCACTTAATCTTACATCTAACAGCTACAGGTGGTTGTGACCTCTTTGTGCCAACAATAAATGCCTCTATGTATTTTTTTTTCTTTTTTAATTTGATTTTTGGGATGAATAATGATGACTAGAAAATGATTATTAAAATTAAAAAATATATATCTAAGCTTTATTTATCGTATGTTCTACATTCTCTTTCAATGTCCGATTTTATTCTTGTGGCACATGTACGTGTCGGATTGTGCTTTAATAATATAGTAATATTGTCATTTATTTGAACTAAGGATCATATATTTTTTATTATCATTTTGTTTTTAGCATTAGCGCTCTGAGATAATTGCCTTGCAAATTTAATGGGATTGTCTACAAAGATACCATTTATCTTTAGTACATAGAGGTCACAATCATCTTTGTCTCTTAAATTCAAAATGAGTGGTTGTACGAGTATCATAAATAAACACAACGTTAAAAATAAAAAAAATAAAATATTTTCAAATTTCGTGACTCATCCCTACCCATTTAATTTAATATCTAATGAGCATGAATGATTGCGACTTACATGTATAAAATATAAATAATCTATTCATAAACAATCCCTAACTTAATTATATTGTACTTTAATCATTTATTGTCAAATGAATGACTAAGGTTCATCTGATTGAGATGTTGTTGTTTACTTGAGTGGAGGCACTGTTATTTCAATTTCCAGCCGTCCATTATAGGGGACGATTGCAGCAAGAGATGTTATATAAAAAGGAAAGATTATGTGGCCTCGTATACTTCTCAACCATTCGATTTGAATGAACGGCTAGGATTATTCATGTTATAATGTCACATCAAAAACAATTTTTAATTTTTAATTTTTTAAATAACCTTTTTGAATGAAATTCGGAGCATCCCATCTTCGTAATGGGGCACACCTAAAATAAAAATATATATTTATCATAAAAAATATAACAAAATACTCCAAAAATTATAGGGGTATTATGGTGATTTTCTATCAAAATGTATGTGCACCTCAAATTTCATAGCAAAATTATTTATAGAATAAAGATTAAAAAGCACTCTTAGCCATTGTACTAAAAAATATTCATTTGATGATCGTGAAATTATGACTCTGGTCATTCTAGCCATCTACTCAATTTTGACAGCTGAAAGCAAAGGTCATATATGCTTTATCTATGGGTGGGGTTACATATAAAGCTTTCTCAACATAAAGGGAAAATCCCTTCACAAAATATACAAGCTTAATCCAATACAGAAATACAAGATGGTTTGTTATATAGAAAATTGTTTCATGCGGGTTGGATTGCATTTCTACATATATGGTCCAAAAGGTGTAAAGCATCCATCTTAAATATGGATGCAAGTAGGTGTTTAATCTAAAAACAATAGAAATTAACGGTCCAAATGTTTTTTTACTATAATTATTATTTATAGTTTTTAAAATTTATTTATTTCTTCATATTCATGATCTCCATGCTAGAGATTACACATCCTTAAAAATTAAGTCTTAAAATCCATCTCAAAAATAGATTTATTAGGAGGCCCACATTTCTACACATGCAGGCTTGGCCGCATAAAAACCGGGTCCTTGTTATATTGCACTCGACTTATGCTAAGGTTATTCCTGGCTTTTATGTGGCCAAGCCCGCATACGTAGAAAGCCAAACTCGCATATGTAGAAATGTGGGCCTATTAATAAATGCATTTTTGAGATGGATTTTGGACTTAATTTTTAAGGACATATAATATCTAACACGAAGACCACGAATACGAAAAAAGAAGTAAATTTTAAAAACTGGAAATAATAATTATAGTAAGAAAACATTTGGACCGTTAGTTTCTTTTGTTTTTAGATGGAACACCTACTTGCATCAATCTTTAAGATGGACGCTTTACACTTTTTTGACCGCATATGTTATTTGGTCCAGCCCGCATGAGACAATTTTCCTTCACTTAAATGTGTCATTCACGTATTTTGAAATGCATTATTTGGTTGCATTTTTTAAAAATCGTGAATAATCATCACTGGTAAAAAATAAGAAAGAAAGATAATTAACATGTATGAATAACTTATATTTCAACTTTAATACCGTTACAATGAGGGGCTTGGAACATATCTTTTATTACTATATATATATATAGAGAGAGAGAGAGAGAGGGGAGAATAATTTTATGCAACGGTTGTATAGTAATATAATACAACCTCACTTCTAGAAAACCATGTTTGTAGCATTTGTATTACCTCAAAAATTACACATACCCTCTTTTATCTCAATAGTCAATTTTCAAACAAATAAAATTCAATTTGCATCATAGACACAGTTAAAATGAGTCTCCTCCAACATTGAATCTAGACTGTCTAATTTATGAATTTCAAAATCTAGGCCTTTACAAACTCAAAACCATTTTTTTATTTTTCAACATTGTTCATCTAATGATAACAAAGCTATCCAAAAAATTTGAAAAGAGAAAAGTCCTTCTAACGCCCAGATCTATGCACCTTCACAAAATGGAGGGCTTATGTTGATTTGGGCTAAAATAATACCTTCTAGAGTTATTTTCAAATTTTATTTTTTTTGTAACTGTTCAATGGAATGAAAAGAGTTTGCATTTAAAAATTAGGATCAAACAAATGGCACTAACATGATTTTTTTAAAGTGTTGCATTATATTATTATAGAACCGTTGAATGAAATCACTTTATATATATATATATATATATATATATATATATATATATATATATAGAGACTATATATTATTACGTACTACCTATTAGTTATTAAGTAATTAATAGTATACGTACTAACCTAAAACCTTAAAAACCTAA